ACATGCGGGTATTTACCATGTACAGTCTTATCCTCTAAAGTAATTTTTTTTACTGAAAAGAATAGTTACCAATTTTAGTCATACAAACATCGTAATATACTAATAACATTGGTAATTGGAATTTGTAAATAATGTAATAATAAATGTTGGTCTCTATTTACTAGGTACCTTAAGTATTTAGAAATTATGTTCTTGAAGTGCTGTACTCCCGTTCCTAGTTGTATACCAGCTGTTGGCTGTCGGTTATAGTAGATTGACATTTTTTTGACTGAATGGAAAATGGAATCACTATAGTAATCTTTGGTGTTACAGATTTATTTATGTTGTGTTTTGAGTGTTTTGACAGTTAATATTTAAAAAAAACTTGATTGGGATCAAGCATAATCAAATTCTTAATTTTATGTTTAAAATTATAATTTTCAGTTTTTAGTTTGTTTTACTTTTTGAAGTTATTCTGTGACCTATTATGATTAGGTTAGGTTTGGCAGACAAAAATAATGACAAAAGTTTAAAATTGTTATCAACCTTTTCTTGCAAACTAATTAGGCATGCCGTATTTAACTTGTTTACCTAATTGTATTCTATCAGTTGATTAAATGAACTCTTTATTTCAATAATATATTTATACAATAGTTAAACTTGTATAACAGTAATACACACTTTGTTGCTGTTGTAGCTACTTTTATTTCGGTCTACCAATCTCTGACTAGATAATTTATTTTTATTTGATAGTAGTGTAGTAACCATACACTTTAATTTACCATAAGCAATTGAACTTCTTCGCATGTTGTAAAAAATGTAGCTGTGTACGATAAGACATAAGTGCGTAATATAATTAAAATTAATTCTTAGTAGGTGATTGTTAATTATTGTGCGTTTAATTCACAGAACAATAATAAAACTTTTATTATTTCAAAAAACAATATTACATTTTAATCTTAATTCTAGAGTAGAATACACCAAGCATGGATTAATGATATAGTACTTTTTGTATTATAGTATAATAATTGTATGTTTGACTTTATTTCTGAGATTAATGATATATTTTATGCAGTTTTCGAAGTGGTATGAAATTAAGATTGGTCGTAGATATGCAGGCCAGTTGTGTTGGATAAATTTTCTAAATTTTCTAAATTTTTCCCTGGTCGATCGTAGCTGAAGTTAGAATTAAGTGATAGTAGTCCGTATAATATATGTATGTATATATAGTAGTATTGGTACATAATAAATTACCGCGTTTATTATGTCATCCGACCACCGTGTTGCATTAATTATTGAAGTTTGAAACATTTTGTAATCAGACAGCGTGTGCGTGTGGTTTTGCCGGTTTCATATAATCCATCTTATGCCCATAATATAATATCGTTTAGATTTTAGTTATTTAATTAATCATTATATTATTTTTAGTGGCGTCACAACGAGTCATGCGTTGTTAAAATACATAATACCTGACGCCTGTATGACAGTGGCGGGGGGGGGTATAATGCTACAGGGTGGTTTAACTAGGATCTCTCATAAGTTTAGCATACTGACATCGATGTTTTATTTTAGGTTTTATTTCTTGTACAGCTATACAAATTTGTATTTGCAGTAACTTTCACAGAAATAATTTTAATTTTCTTAAAATGTCGGGGAGGGATTTACAGCCCCCCGGCACCCCTGGCTACGCTGCTGCTGTATGATGATACCATGGTCACTCCCTTTTATTTTTTAATAATGCATTTATACGAGCATTTATATGAATTCTGATTATTAAAGATTTTCAAATACCTACTTCGATTATTTTCCCATACAATTCGAGCAGTGTTTTGTGTCGATAAAACTACTTAAAAATAAATTAGGACTGCATTTTTTACTGTTTATATTATTTATTATATTTTTAAAATTATTCTGGCCCTTATTAAGTCCTTATATAGTAATAATACCTTCTAAACCTATTATCGTGGACTATTATCCTTATTCCTTAGTAAATAAGGTCCATGTATATATTATATAGTTTAAGAGGACGCCACACCCGCATTTGTTGTCTGTCTTAAAGTGTACAACTTACTATACCTACAACAGTTCACGTTTAGTTTCGTTAAGACCTACTTAATTTTAATATTAGAGTGAATTGACCTATATTATTAAACTTAAACTTTCCTACCTAATAACGTCGTTTGAGTACTATTGGAAGTGTTTTTCGATATTTTAATTTTGAAACGAGTTTAGCGAACGCAGTAATCTTTCTTAACGCGTTACCATTATTTTACGACGTATAGAACGTCTCTTCACGTTTGTAAGATGGGTGTACAATAAAAGTTAACGAAATAAGTTTGGACATAAAAATAATGATTTATTATGACAAAGATACAGGTAGATACCCACTTAAAAATATATAATGTACATTTGGGGACTGAGTGTTGCTAAAGCTGCACTCTACCTGAAAATCAGAACTACTAACTGTAGGGAATAGACTTTATTTAGAAATGAGCGGCGATTAGCCAACAATTCACAAAAGTCCTACAAGTTTGAATGATTAACTCCTACACTACGCGTGTTATTATACGTAACCAGCTAGTGATGTGATCACTGATCAGTTTTATAAGCTTTCCGTGGTATGAATATATATGGGAGATCAATTATACTGATAATTTGTTTTTACGCATACATATATTACTATCCTTAGTCACATTATAGGTACCTATATTTAGTAATTAATAATTATAATATATAGTATAATATTAGGCAGGTACCTATATTATATAATAAATTAACTAATATTGAACGTGCATACTACAAGTCATGTTAATTATTAAATTGTAATGTATTACACACTTACCTATATAATTAAGTTTAAAAATTAAAATATTGAAAACAACTACTAACATTTGATAATTGGTCACTTTACGTTTAAAATTAACTAGACTTGAACGTAAATTTGCTGTTACGCGCTTGTAAAATAGAAATAACAAAGCGGGTGTGGCATCCTTTTAGAATAACTCAGAAACTAAACTAGTTCAAATTTGGATTTATACAGCTACTTATCCACATGTTCCAAAAACATTATCTGCTTAATAATTATTTATAGTGAAAACAGGTTGAATAACTTAATTTTTTAATCGTAGGTACAACTATAAAAAAATAAATAACTAGGTATAATATGGATTTACTAATACGCTCTTAAGGTATATAGAGGACCGTTTTTTATGTACCTACTTACATCTTTGTACACGAAATGATAAATCGTTGTACTTCAAAAATATTATTTTATTCCGACTTCCGAGCGCTTGGGCCTTGGAGCAAGATTCAGTTACTGCACCACCAGTTTTGGGAGTTTGACTTCCAGTTTGGATAGGCGTGTTGCATAATCAAACTTAAAACGTCGATTCACTGCGTGTCCCTCCCACACTCCCATCAAATAACAAAAAACAGAAAAGTTTAACTTAAAAATTACTGTAATTACATAAAAATGGCACATAATTTCATCGTAAAATCTGTGAATTTCTCGATCAACTCGAGATCCGAAAGGAATACTTCCGTGCGGGCAGTCGACTGTTATAAAACTCAAGTACATTGCGTACACGGTTGTATAATTGCAACCGTGGTACAACGCCCGTGTATAACTGCATAATCGAGATGTACACCATAATATTATAATATATGATAATGATATATGAATATAACAATAATGTGATTGTATGTGCATGTCTCTGTCATTATAATAACTAATGAAAATATTATTATGACTTTTAGTTATTGTTTGCATATAAACCCGCACGCGTAAACCGCCTGCAATAATTATAATTTGTTATATAAAAAATATAATACCGAGACAAATCTATGTCGTGCCAGCGTCTGTTTATCCATCGCATTTTTTCCTATTGTCTTATGTGAGCCCGGCGTCTCTAAAATATCATAGAATTTCGAGGTACCAATTTGTGCAGGGGTCAAGCTCGATCACGAGTCACAGACTAACCTATAACCTACACGGCTACGCTGCATAATATATAACGCTATTCACTACAAGTGTGATCCATGTGGAACTCGCATTATATATAATATATTAAGTTTCATAGGATGGGAATTTGTTGTTTAGGATTAATATGAGAGTATAGGTTAATATTTGTCTACATTTTATGGTTATTTTCGGGATTTCTATAATATATAGGAAATAACGATGATAATAGATTCATATTGTATTTAATAATGTGCCTTGAAGTTATTATAGACAGTATAGTATACAAATGACTTTCGAAATTTCATTTTGCACATTTAAAAGTTTTTTAAGGAAATTGATTCGAAATGAATTGAACTTTTATATTGTCCTCTATTTATGCAACATAACTGCAAATATGTGTGAATAAATGGAAATATATAACCATAGCAAACTTTAAGCCCACCTGTCACACTTTAAAATTGCTGTGGGGACAGAGGTTTGCATAGTGATTTCCTCTATTACGAAGCTGTTAGGCACTTCTCTGCAATCAAACAATTCAATACCTAATTACTCTATTAACTCTTACGCGTAGAACTTAAACATTCTTTAAATCGAATTAGATTTTTTTGTGTTATTGTTGTTAAATACTTTCGAACAATTTGGAGTTCGACATTCCATCTTAATTAAACTTTTTTACCTATTTAATGAATTTCGCACACCTTAACCTATTTGGAATAAATAAATAATTTTCCGTCGTCCGTCGTTATAGAACAATAATCACTGTAGTGTTTGTACTATTGTCTATACATTAGTCGTACAGGACTTTCGATAATTTTGAACTATTCAAATTGTTCGAGGTGTTCGAATTCAAACTTAAATCGTACCTGAAATGTCTTGAGATTTGAGGTTTTTGTTGGTCCGACGAGCGAGTTCGATAACTCGCGGCATATCCCCAATAATAATTGATCGAAACTTATCGCCCCATATAACTAATTACTATGGTGTTTGTGTGTTGCAGGTTGTGCGATCGCATATCATATAAACGTAAAAATAGAATAGACGATATCGTCGAAGCCGCGCGATGAGGGTGGAACTGGAATCTGCCGTCAAGTTCATAATTTCGATGCTGCGCGCGGGACACCGGTCGAAGCTGGTGCGTAGCAAGGGCGACAAGTTTTTCCTGGAACCCGAGATCGAGATGCTGCAGCTGTCCCTGTTGGCCGTCATGAATCGTCAGTACAAAGACTTCTGGTTTCCCGAGTCACCAAACCGTGGTTCTGCTTACCGGTGCATCCGGATCAACAAGGACAAGATGGACCCGATCATTGCTCGTGCCGCGGACGCTTGCGGCTTATCATGCCACTTAATTCGCGCGTACCTGCCCGACGAGCTCACGTTGTGGGTGGACCCATCTGAGGTGTCTTACCGCATCGGCGAGGAGGACGGCAGCATTTGCGTACTGTACGAGGGCCCTCTGCCAACACCGCATGACATGATCGCCGCACAGCCGGGCCGCCCTTCGTCATCGTCGTCGTCTTCGTCTTCGGTGTCCACGTCCCCCGGATCGTTGTCTTCGTCCTCACCGCCGTTCAACCTCAGCCGCAACAGTCATCTCCATCTCCAGCACCAGCAGCAACAGCAGCACCTCCAGCAACAACAGCAGCAGCAACAACAGCAACAACAACAGCAGCAACAACAGCAACAACAGCAGCAGCAACAGCAACAACAGCAGCAACAGCAACAACAACAGCAACAGCAGCAGCAGCAAATACATCAGGCCGACGGCATGGTGGGTTCGTATACCAGCTACACGTCCCCGGTCAAACCGTCGAACGTGATCACATTTGTGCCGCCCACATACGGATCTCCAGTACAGTTCGTACATTCACCTTACCAGTCGTATCCCGCTTTTATTTCCAGTTAATTTTAGAGAAAACGTATTCACACCGATTCAAAAGGAAAAATGCTTATTTGATGTGTATTTTAGCGATTAAGAATGAAATGAAAAAAAAACTTAAAAAATTTAAAAAAAAAAATAAGAAGCTTTAAACATTTAGATTTATATTATTTATTAGGTAAGTACCTATATATATATTTATTCAATATAATATATTATATTATATGAACAATACATATATAAGTATATGTGTTGGTAAGATTTTATTTGCAAACAAAAAAATAACATCGCAATTTATACGCTAAGCACTCAGTATATTGTATTTTTTTACGATACCGAAACCCCCCTCCCAACCCTACCCCACCCACCCACGACCATTGATTGCAGTGATCTCACAAGTCCTTAAGAAGTATGCTGTATATGAGCATAGGACGTAGAATTATTATTATCGGATCGTGTGCGTCTTGTCTCCCTCTCGAGACACAATCTGTGATTACACGTTTCGCTATAATAATATACGCATGTGCATATAGCACAATATTATGATACTATTATTATTATGTTGTACCTATCTATATGTCACCTATACTGTAAGGAAAAAAAATAATGGAAACCTCTCCCAGCCCCTTCCCAATTAATTTTTGCAGTCTGTACTGGGTGCTTACTTGAAACGGCTGTCGAATGTTGTAAGGACTTGAAAAAAAAAAAGAAAATAATAAAAAAAAAAGAATATGGGTAATAAGAGCTGCTGAGTAGACTGGGTTGTGTAATACGTTTTCGAAGAAAATCGTTTGTAACCATGTTTTGTTTTGTATAATAATAAAATCTATCTATTTTGTGTATGTTTATGTGTGTGTGCGTGTGTTTAGGATTTTTTTATCGCTGTTTAAATAACATTATAATAATCATTATTATTGTTCCATAAAGAATATTAAAAATATTATATAGATGTACCTCATATTAAAGGCTTATAAAAATACTGAGTATTAATAAAAACAAACCATTTTTGCATTTCGTTAAATAGTGAATATAGTTTTTTGATTGCCAAGCTGAAAAAAAAATGATATATATTGTGTCAAAAAAGAATAACACACCTATTAGATATAATGTAATGTTATTAATATAATATTGTACAACGTGTACACACACGATTAATTTATTGTATTCGTCCCCCCCCCTGAACCACTACCACCACGACCACTACCACCATCGCGGCCACCACCTCTCGTCGTGTAAGTCTGCAGGCGCCGCCAATATTATTTTGTTCCCCGTTTTGAAAAAGTAATTTTTCTGTTTTTGTTTCTTGAACGTGTGATGATTAAAAAATGTCCCGTTACCATGTCGGTGCGTGTATGTACGGTCAATTACTATTAGACTTAAATTTTTGTCATTCGACCGTATGTATAACTATATGTTAATATGATTTTATCTTACATTATATACTGCTTGGTGGTGACGCGCGTTGTAAGCATTTCGTCGAACGTATGCGTCCACTTAATTCGCCGAACAAAATTTATTAATTTATTGATTATTAAAAATTAAAATGATATATTGTTCCTCTAATGTTAAACGTTGATTTTTTTTCCTCTAAGTGGTATACGCAATTCGTGCATTAAATGAGATAGAGCTCGGAGACCGACTGGCTACATACAGTTATCTACGTTATTTGCATTCTAATCGATGATAACGATAATTGCATATTTTGCACTGGTGGGTTGAAGTGATAACGCGCAAGCGATTAAAAGGATTCATTTTTCTCATTCCATAAAAAGTTAAAAGTAAAAAAAAATGCAGCTAAAAGTTAGGCGCAACCGCATGACGTAGTAATGTATAAATATATATTATATTCACCAATGTATGATTTTTCGCAAATAATTTGAGACTTTTACTACTCATATTTTATATAATCGTTTGGTCAATTAAAATTTGTATTTATATTTAACTATATTATTTTATTATGTATATTATTATCTTCGTTTTGACTATTAATTATTATTGTATTCAGCCCTCACGAATGGTTTCTCGTGTTTATAAATTTATTTTGAAACTGATTTAACGTTTGCTAGTCGTAATATGATAATATATATATGCAGGTGTAATATTATGTCAATCAAAAGTATGTTAAAGGGAAATCACGTCGCACAATATTTGGGAATAGATTTGAGTACCGATATAATATACTATTATAATTCCATATTTTGTATTACGTGCCAGACTCGATGACAGGGGGAGTCTCCATATATTAAGACCTTGTAAATGTATTATAGTAATTGTAGATATTTTGCACTGATCTCTCTCTCTCACCCCTCCCTATCCCTCCCCCTGTCAGCGTATGCTATAAGTAGTTCTGTCTCTTTTATTCTTACTTAATCTCTGCTACCTTCTCTCATTCTCTCTCTCTATCTCTCCATCTTATTTATTTGTGTGTAGATGGACAGGCAGATAGATAGAGAGATAATAATAACAATACAATATTATTATAGCTTAGCTCCCCGTCGTTATGTTTAAAATATTGAAAATCGTTTTCCGTTCCCGGCGACGACTTCGTGATACTATTAACAATGTATAAATAAATAAAGTTGTGATACTATTAGGCTTATTGCATACTTATACGTACGATATAAAATATTATAATATGTATATCATGTTATACTTGAACAATTTTTGTATCAAACAATAATGAACCTATATAATTGGCCTATATGTTTAATATATTATTGTAATTTTACTTTTTTTTTTTATTTAAATATATATATATATTTATAATTGACCAAATCGTTTTATAGTATATTGTGTAAGTATTTAATGGAAAATTAAAAAATTGGTATATATTTATACACATTACCCATGCCTACATACGCCAGTAATATTGTACGAATTACTTTATATAACTCGTGCAACGGAAACGTGAATTTTAAGAACCATCCATGTCGATCTGTAAAAAATAAATAAAAATATTACCTAAACTTATTATGCCGGATTTGTTTTTCTCCGTACCATATCATGTACCTATTTAATGTTTACTTACCAAATTTACAATATTGATTTTTTTGCCCAGTCTTCTTGTGTTATAATATATATATTATATTATGTAGTACCTGTATACATTATAATTACTATTATTTGATTTTTTTTTGTATTTTACTTGTCCGAAAATATAATTGTTGTATTTCGAATGCGCCATGATATATTGTATTTAAATATGTATGTGTATAAGTTTTTTTTTGCTTCCTGTTATAGGTTTTAAAGTTTAATAATTTAAAACATTATGAATTATAATAATATTATTATTATTATTATATTATTATTATTATTATTATTATTATTATTATTATTATATCGGTGTTCTCTCAACTTTTGAATGTGATATACGTTTTGTAAGATGAAAAATAATTAAAAAAATACCAATTATAAATTGATGTATAATTAAAAAAAACCCTTGTTTACTTTTTTTACCCAGTATAATTTCCCATTCTCTGAAGGTCATTATAAGATTACAATATGTGAATCTGAAGTCTGCGTGCGCTATATTTTCAGTTAACTAAATATAGTGTTTACTAAAAAATTGATGCACGTAAAGCGGTTACACTGTACAGGTATAAGTATTGAAATTTACTAAAATGTTTTAGTGACTATATCATGGGTTTCTCATCAAAACTGGACACGACAAAAAGATCACGAAGCTAAATAATTATATTATTCGTGAAAGGGCTTCCCTAAAACGAAGTGCCTGATACGACGAGAATCGAACTAGGGCACCCGCAAGTAGGGGCAGTTGCTCCTCCCCTCGGACTTTCTTTTCTATACAGTTTTCACTCATGTTTAGTGTTTCAGGTCAATGGTCACAATAATATTACGATTTGTGTCATAGAAATAATAGTATCGAAACCAATATTCGACAAACGAATATGTTTTCTTTTCTTATAAAAGTACTTAAATTACAATTAGGCAAGAATATAGACGGAGAGAACTGATAGCGTTCCAATCGGGCGATGTTTAATGTCTATCATATAGTAGTTAAGTAGGTATAAACGAGCCAAGATAATTTCAAATTATTTTAGTTGTTTTCTATAGTAGCTAATTATTTTACATTTATCTAAAAACATCATGATATTAAAAAAAGTTATAATATTCAGACATATTTTATTATAATATGTACAATGGAAAATAGTTAGCGGATGCCCTTGGAGGTAACGAATACGATAAGCGTATACTAGAAACCGGAAGTGAATTAAATATTACTTTTTTTCTCCGTGACAAATTTTTAGATTTTAAAATCAATTCAGGTTTTAAATTCTAAAAATTTTCTTACAATCCAATTTATTCATATGGAAGGTTCACTCAATTGACCTAACCTAATGGAGACCGAACGACACTTTTTCGGGCAATGACAAAGCCACAAATGTTTGATGTAACGTTATTGTCAACCAATTTTTTCGATATTGTTAACCGTTATAGATATAGTCAGGAACTCTGGAAAAATGTACAGAGTCTACGGAAAATCGTGAAGGAATTTTACCTATGGGTATACATTTTTATCGATTTCGATTGCGGTTTCTTACCATGTTTATAGACGATAATAATTACAGGCACCCAGTTAGAATATTATAGCACGTTCGGTGTATGAAAAAAGTTGGTCTAAGAAAAATAATATAAGTAGGTACCTATATATCATATTATTATTATATAACCGTAAACCAGCAGCAGGCGTAGGCGTATAGTTGCAATTAAAATTACATTGAACGGAACAAAAAACAAATTTTGATGCAGAAAACGAGCGTCTTGAGTCTTAAAAAGGAAGCTTATATACACGCACATGCCTCGGCGTAATGCGGATTACTCTTACAGGTGGCCCATCTCCTGCGTATAATATTGTACGCTGGCGGAGGGCGTCTCGCGAATATTTACAATTTTAAAGTGGCGGCTGTGTGGAACTCGGGTCTACCCACACGGCCCACATACCTTTTTAAATATTAGTGAACCCCCTTGGGACACCCTGTCACACATCGTCTATATGCGCGTGTATT